TCTTTCCTGCTCTTGATCAATTAACCGTTGCAAAACCGGAGGAATTTTCTTCGTCCTGTTTTCATCAAAATTTTGAAAATCCTGATTTAAGCAATAAATCAAAGGCACAGAAAAATACTCAGAAACCACATCCACATCGTTCTCATTAAATGTTTCCAAGCCGTCTGATTCTTCTGTTACAACAGACTCAAAAGAGAAAGAAAAAGGCGACCTAGACAGGATTGTGGCATCCGGGTTATCACCCCCAGGAATACCGGACTCAGACTCAGTCGAGCTGGAACCTGATTCCGACTCACAAGACTCGGGGGAATCAGATTCCGGCTCACTACCTGACCCGATGTTACTGGACAAAAATCCTTCTTCATATTGCCAGACGAGAGAGGGTGCGATGGATGCATCCAAAATAGTTGCCGGTAGGCTCGTAGCCATTTCGTTCCCGATCACGCATACCGAGGAGTTATCCCCCAAGCACTTCTGTTCGATCGGAGGATTTGAAAGTAGACATGCCAGTGCTATCCCCATTTCATTTTTAGTGTCCTCAGACTGCACTTCCTTACTGTGTTCAGCCTCAACCGATAGATCTGTTTGTCCTTTGGCGGTGTCATCCTCAGGTAACTGTAAATCAAAGAAGATCTCAAACCCCGGTACGTGCTTCTTCTCCGCGTTCAGCCATGGTTCCGGGAAGCCGCAGAACGGAAAGTCCTCACCCTCCTGGGCGAAGAACCCGTTTAGGGTACCCTGAATGGGCCTATGCATCAATTCAAAAGGCTTCCCGGCCTTCTTTGCTTTAGCTCTCCCAGCCATCTCTTTACCCTTCCTTACCCAGTCCTCTTTGGTGGGCATATAACCCAATCCAAAGGTATGAGGGTTGTATGGCACTTCGGCCAATGCTGCGACGCCCTTCCGGCCGCTCTTGCCCAATCCCATCCCGGGGATGTGTTGGAGCTTGTTCAGGAGATAGACTGCCTGAGCACTGACATATACCCCTTCACTAGCGGCCATGATGTCCTGTACAACCCGAGCCTCAGCCAAGGTAAAACCCGATATGAACACATCTTCCATACCGTGCTCAATTTCTAGAACAGGCGTAGATACCTTCTTTGATCTGTTCAAAAGCTGCTTGACATCGGCCGTCCCATTGGAATTTCTTTCCTTTCTTTAAGAGACCAAAAAGTGGTTCACAAGTCAAGGTTAATTTCGAGATAAACCGTCTTATGAAGTGCACTGTACCTAGAAAGCCTTGCACCTCCTTTTCATCCCTTGGTGGTGGCATTTCTAAGATGGCCTTGATTTTGGAAGGGTCGACCTCGATGCCCCTTTGCGTAA